GTTTGTGAAATTTTCGGATTAACATTAATTATAATTTTGTTTTAAACAAATCGGAAAAATGAGTAGTCCAAATGAGATATCCTGATAGGCTATGTATTATTTATAATTGTCTATACGCTTTATTATAATAATCTGGGTTACGATTAATGTGCTGGTCTGTAACAGGTTTCAAGGTTTATTGGATTTTTAATGAGAGAACATAAATAACCATTGTTAAAATTGGTTTTCACTTCCAAACGAATATAACAATTTAAACTATGGTAAGTCATCATGCAGAGCCCGTTATTAGAAAGAAGATTGTTACTCTTATCAAGATTTAAGGAAAAACAATCATGACACAAACAAGTTTGTCTATAATTCTTGACTCTTAATTAGTATTTTATACCTCCATGTTGTTTTGAGATTCTGAAATTGATTGATTGGTTGTGATTTCAATTTCGGAAATTTTCTATCAATGTTGCCTTCTTATATAAATTTGATTAATTAACAATATAACATTGTTTTTATTGCTTTTATATTTATATAAACACATATTATCAAAACTGTTCATTATATAATTTATTTTTCTTAATACATATCTCTTCTTATAAACTTCATTATAAAATTCTTTTGACGATACCAAATTTTTTTCATCTTAATAAGTACTATAACCTACGTACATTTTATAAAAGAATTAGCCAGAGTTAGATGAAATTTTCTAGCTCTGTCCTTGGCAATAACTCCTGTCAATTGAAATTATATATGTTTGCACTTTGCAGTAAGAGAGCAAGAGCCGGGAACTCTAGAAATAGACAGTCTCTTATTGTTGGGCTGCCACCTATGTGTGGGCTTGAACAGAAAATTGGATTTTAAGCCCAATCAATTATAACAAAGAAAAAGTAAAGCTCTCTCTGAAAATGAAGCCCAATTACCTTTCGGAATGAGTGAAAAGAAGAAGAGAGTAGAAGAGAGAGAGAGAAGCCAGAAAAGCGAGAAATAGGTTTGTTTTTGGCTTAAGGAGCTCACCATTCAAAGGTTAAATTACGTTAAAAAATTTGACGTCTTGATTTGGTGATTGTTTTGTACTGTAGTGGCTTTTTCCGAAACTTATAGGCCACAGTAATATATATATATTTTTTCAATAATACTATACATATAAAGTTGATATCCCATAACACTACATTATATATTGATTTTCTGGTGTGATATTATATTTCTATAATTAATGTAGTATTGACACGTTCATTTAATTAGTATCACTTTTCTTTTTTAATTGAAATGAAGAAATACTATAACAAAGTCATATTATCAATTGAAATTACAAAGTAAAATTAATTAATTAAAAACCCTTAGTATCTATAAAGTAAATAACTCAGTACAAATATTCAATTACTAAGCTATTAAACCTGGACAACATCCAGGATAGAAATTAAAATTTGAATGGAAGCCAGCAGCAGGAATAGAGTTGCACAACAGTTCCAGTACCCTCCCAAGGAGTTTTGAAATACTTAGTTTTCAAGTTGGCAATGTATGATTCCAAGGATTGTGTTAGTGGTCTCTCAGATCATTAAAATTTGTGGATTATTTCTTCGCAAAGTTTATTAAACATTGGAAATAATCTCTTTTCAATAAGCATATCCACACCTTTTTCATCTTCGATAAGAAAGTTTGCGATGGATAATAGCACGCTTAAAGGCCATCACATTTTGGTCAAATTTTTAGATCCCTTTCAAATAAAAAAAAAAAAAAAAAGGAAATGATTTTTGGGAAATAAAGAATGACTCCAATCTTCTATTTCTCAAAATATAAATAAAGCCGAGTGAAGTCACTCCACGTTTACAGCAACATAATGTTAAGTCACATTTTGGATCAAATTTTCAGATCCCTTTCAAATAAAAAAAAAAAAAAAAAGGAAATGATTTGGGAAATAAAGAATGACTCCAATCTTCTATTTCTCAAATAAAATAAAGCCAGAAGTCAACTCCGCGTTTACAGCACATAATGTAGTCAATAGGAGCACGTTTTATTCTCTATATAAAAAGATATATTTAATTGTGTGAGAACGCGTAAATCAAAGCACACAGAAATTGCTAACTGGGTCCTCCTTCAACAGTCAACCAAGAACCTGAACCAGAAGGATCAAACCGGATAACTGTTACATTTATTTATATTTGTATATCAGTAATCGATGAATACATGTGAAAGGTAGATATTAGTATCTTGATAAACTATGCTTACATATTTGGTAGTGGCAATTAATTACGTTCATTATGTTTTTTAGTTGTCATAACAATACAATGTTTTTAATGAGCTCTGTATATGTAATGCTCCCAATCGATTTTATGTAATCTCCTTGATCCAAAATCAAGGGAATTTGCCCCAAATCTAGCTCATAATATTCGAAACATTTTTTTTTCCGGATTTTCCTCTTTAGCTGTAAAAATACGAACTTGTATTCTCTTTATTCATCAGTAAGCTAATGAAGCACTGTTGTATTAATTTATATATGGGTTCATTAGAAATAGAGCATATTTTATAACAAAGTTTTCAATTTTTTTTTGTAACCAGTCCATTCTTTAGCTTTCATTAAAGCCTGTGACAGTTTTAAAAATAGGCTTGAGAGAAAACAACATTGTCAATGGCTTTATATTTTGTACAGAGAAAGAGTATTGCCCAACTTTGATATGCACAAATTTAAAGATATCCTCTTTATGTTTCCACACTATGTGGTAGCGCTTTCTGAATACTCACAATGCCGAAGTAATAACTGAAGCAGTCTGTTTCGGCAAAGTTGGTTACATGTCCACAATTACAGTATTGTGCCTATAATATGTAATAATTTCCTCTTCAACAATCGAATCTACATCTTTTTTAGTTTTGATCTCAGAAAACTCATTTACCTCAATATAACTGAATATGTGAATCTGGGATATGATAACATTGCTCTAAGGCCATAGCATTTTAATCAAACTTTTCGTGCATATTATCATATGTAAAGGGTGTGTTTTAGCTCAACTACATCATAGATTATTTTTGGTCGTTTGTCTGGCTCAAGTTTGTCAAGCAAATTTTCATCCTTTTACAACTTCATTACGATACGGAAATTCTTTATAATGCCTCACAAATTTGCTAGAGTAATAGCAACCGCTGAAATTGTACGCAAAAATGTGTAAATAGATATGTCCTATTAGAGCATTGTTGCCCCCAAAGTTAAATTAACTTTCAGCAAGCAAAATCCACATCTTTTTTGGTTTTGATAAAGTATATGTTCTTTCTATTATTTTAATGAAAAATATATCTAATGTTTTAAAATCTGGATCATTTAACTAATTAATCACACCACCGCTAACTGTTAAAATATGGAATTTGATGCAAACTAAAGTTTATGACTTACCAGTTCATTAAATTATGCGATAAGTTGTTTGTTGTTCAAAGGTGCTTGTGGTTATGGTATTTGATCAACATATTCACACATAAAGTAAGTACACACCACATTTACATGGTTCGGTCAACAACCTACATTTATGAGACCAAGTCTAGACAAAGCAAATCCACTATAGCAATATTTAATGTTCATTACAAAGTTGAAGTTAAGTAAACAAATGCAAAATATTCCCTCTTTCACAATACTCTAACTTCACCCTTTGGATGATCCATCATCTTCCGCAACTTACGTATATCCAAGACACCCATTGGATAGCTGATCTCCGCTCAAGCTTTAATGTCGAAGACCCCTTTCAGCTCCACAACTTGAGAACCCTTCAAGCATCTCAAATGGACCCATGTTCCAACACACTCGAAAAAACAAAGCTAGACAAGTATTTGAGGTTAACAAAAACTAGGAACTGACCTCAAATTGATAAAAGCTTTTGGAATTTTCAAAGAACAATACAAGGAATATTCAGGTTCAAACTTAAATGCAGATGAGGGAGAGTGTAAAGAACCCTTGCACAAGAATCCCTTAGACAACCAACCGATAAATCCCTACACATGTTTAGTTTATTTAGGAAGTTTCACCAACTTATTTGGACCACTTCTAAAAAACAAACAATTTTCAGGACCACATCTAGATATTTGACACTTGTGTAAGGACCACACAGAAATATCTCAACCTAAAAAAAAAAAATAATTCTATCCTTACAAAGAGTCTACAAAAGCTTACAAATTAAAAAAAAAAAACAAGAAAAAACGGAAAAAGAGAAAGAGAGAGAGAGAAATGGTGAAGATGAAGGGTGGAGGTTTTCTTTGTATGTCTCATTTGTAGGTTTCTTTGTAAGACTAGCACTGTTAAAAAAATCTATAGCTAATAAAACTTGACATCTATGCTAAAGGTCTGATTGGACGACTGTTCCCACATCTGACTTTAATATGCCCACATAAATGCAATTAGCTTAGACTAATGGGATGTGCACACTAAGTAAAAAAATGTCATGACGGTGTAAACTGAAGAAACAATTGTCTTAATAAAGGTGTGCAAACACAGAAATGAATGACGCACACAAACTTCATAAGTTGACAAAATACTTGCATAAATAATTGAATTTTTTTTATTTTTTTTTTTTTTTTTTTTAAAGAGGAAATCTAGAATACCCCCGTGCTATGTACATAGAACAAACTCATGATAATATTATATGTTATGTAAATTACCCACTAGCCGTAATTAATATATATGAATTATTGAATTTTAATGAAACATGATATTACAAAATTTTGGCCAAAATTTTCCCTTTAATTAGCCGTAACTAATGTGATCTAAACTAAAAATTTTAGAATCAATCATTCTTCTCCACCGTTCTAATGTTTTAGAATATGGATTATACTGACTACCACCACCACTAACTGTTAAAAGTATTGAATTTTTGCAAACAGTTGAACAGTTTTTGAAAAGTGAGGATGTACATAGAACAAACTCGTATTATTAAATATAAACCACACGCTATAAATCAATTAAAATACAACAAACTGATTAGTTTCTACATATCAAGTAGACAACCAAATACAAATATTAAAATCACTGAGCTTTATTCAGCCAAGACAACATCAAGGATAGGAATTAAAATTTGTATGAAAGCGAGCAGCAGACATATAGTTGCAACAACAGTTCTGGTACCTCTCCAAGGATTTTTGAAATACTTACGTTTCAATTTTGCAATGGTATGGTTCCAAGGATTGTGGTAGTGGTCTCTCAGATCATCACAAATGTCGGAGTAATAGGAAAAACTTGGTCTAATTTTTTTGCCGAGTTTCTTGAAAATGTCCACAATCACAGCATTGCTGCCTACCTGATTGGAAATAATCTCTTTCCTAACAAGCAAATCCACATCTTTTTCATCTGCGATTATACAACCCATTAGTCCAATATAACTGCAAACGTAGGCATATGATGGATAATAGCACTGCTCGAAGGCCATCACATTTCGGATCAAACTTTCTGTGTAATTGTTAATGCACATTGGTGGGATTTGCAGCTCAACTACATTAAATAAGGGTACTGGTCGTTTTCTCCTTCTCAAGTTTATGTCAACTAAATATTTCTTCCGATCCATGTGAGGCCTAAACTTCACTCCCGACTTTCGCAACTCGACTGCACGCGGTAATCCTTTCACGGTTTTGATGGCATCTAACTTGGGTTTCTTAGTTCCCATTAGAGCTTGTCTACATAAATCGGTGAAATGTTTAACTTTGATCTCTTTGTTTAGAGGTGGTATGTTGGGCGGGACATGGAGGCAAAAGAAAACACAAGAAAGATAACGGAAGGGTGGAATTAAGTTCTCATCCAGTGCTGGGGAAGGGAAGGCCAACTCATATAATTCTTCAAGCACAAAATACGGAAGCTGATTTTCGAGTAATTGCAAGTCCCGTCTTATAGCCCCTAGCCATAAGTTCTCTACCAAGAAATTTCTTCTATCTCTACGGTAATATCTCAAGAAGAGCTCGATGATGAAGACAGAATCAAGTAGAATCATTTTAACAAAGTTTGCACTCGAAAGGTTGGATGGGTCAGCATAATAACGGCGGATTTGACTTTCGTTGTCTCTGATATATTTTTTGAATTCCTTCTGTTTATCCTGGCCGAATCGATCGTTAAATTCTTCCTTATATCTCATTTTATGCTCTTCCATGTCAGCCAATTCTACTTTGCCATGGTGATAAGGGCCTATTGCAATTAGTAGAGGAGTGCAGGCTCCTTCGTTTTCTCTTCGAAGATTCGTAGGAACCTTGTGAATACAAGGCACTCCTGCATTAGGATAATCAGCTGCGAAAACGTTCCCCATCAACTTATTACCTCTCCTGGTACAAAATCATCAAACTTTGTATCAATAAATACAGGATGAACTTCCAAAATCGTTTTTTTCCACAAAAAAGTATAGGATAATAAAAATGGAAATTCCCAACATCATCATCATCATCATCATCATCATCATCATCATCATCATAATAATAATAATAACAACATGATAACATCAAGTGTGTTGAGCAAATATATCTAAATCTCTTTCACAATCATCAAATAATGATCTACCAACAAATATACAAGCTTGGTTCCAATAGATATTCAACTTTAAATTAATGAATGTAAAAGCTAACCGGTTCTGATTCTTCTAGATCTTGTTCTTGGTTGGTGACTGTTGAGAGATCTGCCAATTTCACTGTGTTTTCCTTTACCCATTAATTTATAGAATTAAAGATTGTCATGAACAGATGATTTTTTTTTTTCTTTTAAAAAGAAAAAGTCTACTTCTTCAGTCATTTGATATATATATATATATATTATTTTTTACAAACTGATGTGTTATTTCTACATGTTTTACACGTAATTTTCCTATTTTATTTGATTTATTTTTAATTTTAAGTCATTCAATTATTACAACAATTCAGTTTGTCAGAGAAAATTTGTATAAAATGTTTGTATATGAAGTTGGTAGTATCATAAGCGTATTGTTACTGTTTGTGAGACTAGTCTCTTATAATTTGTGATATTTGTGATTAAATATTGCGTTAAACAGTAATGTCAAGCATTTTCGTATAACTTAATTAGTTTTAGGTTAAGTAGTAACTTAACACTTCTTATATTTTAAAAAAAATATATCTTTCTTATTTTACAGATGTCCGCATATATATAAAAAAATGAAAGTTTTTTTTGAATTAGAGAGGGAGCCAGATATTAATTAAGTGCTACCAAATTATATTATGAAAGAAAGTCACTTCACATAAATAATATACACATTATCTAGACCTAAGGAAAAATTAAATATATAAGTGCTGCACAAATTATATTCATGAAAGAATAATGAACATAAATAATAGAAAAGGGAAGAACCTGAATACTTTTGGCTGGGAAGAAATACTCGTACAATTGTGTAGAGAACAAGAACTTCTCCTCCTGCTTTCCCGAATTCCACAGAGATAGTTTTGTAGTATGGTATGTGATTATGATGCCTCGCTTTTTTGTGTTTCTTAATCACTCCTAAACGTATTTATAACTATCAATAATGCATTAATTAAAGATGAGCAACAACACCACTTTATTTTACGAATACGCATGTTTAATATTTCTCTCTTCCTGTGAAAGGTTTCACACTCTCAACCACACGCTTTCTCTCTCCGCCAGTACCTCTTTGGTATTTTTTTAATTCCCAAAAAATAAAAAATCAGATCACAAAATTCAACACCAAATAAAATATGTTGATGGTGGCCTACACTGACCGAGGCAGCTGGTTATGTTTGAATTCATATTAATTTTTTTTGTTTTTTTAATAGTTTACATTTAGCCAGTGGATAATACCATCTCCATCTAATCCGGATTCTTAGTTTTGCTCAGCACATGTTTTCAATACCAAATAAGATATGTTGATGGTTCCTTCTGTAGCTTTTCGTAGAGTGATTTGGAAATTAATGGTTAAATACCTATATTAACACGTTTCTAGATGAACAAGAATAATTGATTTCAAATTTGCAAATTAAATAATATATTTTATATATTTAGGGTCTGTTTGTTTTTTCGTCTTTAGGTCTGAACAAGCTTAAGTTTAATGATTATTGACATTATAGGTTTGTTTGTTTTTAACTTACATATTATTATAAAATACAATCAAGAAGCCAAAAACATATGAATCAATAATATTTTTATTTGTCAACTTTACGCTTATATAATTTATATAATTCCATTTCTATCAAAACCTTATGTTATAAATTTTTGTCTTGTTCACTCATCATACCTATACCAAACTTCTACCTCAATAACCACTCGTTAGATCTTTGACAATTAGTTGGTACTTTATAGTAACAATTAATTATCATGTTTTCAAGTAGTTTGGATTATTTTTTTTTTATTTTTTTTTTATTTTTTTTTCTTATTGATTTTGAATTTTTTTTTTTTTGTTATAATAAAATTTTAAATACTAATATAAACTATATAATGACATATTTATCTTTAATTTATGTAACTGTATATTTTGTTTTTATTTTCATAATTTGAATACATAAAATTGTTTAAAACATGTAAAATATAAAATTATATAATTTTTTAATAAGGACATATATGTCAAATCACCCATTTTAAGATATTTACGTACCCTATATAAAAGTAAACAACTCATGGTAAGATTCGAATATATATAAAACACCACCTCAGAGTAAGATTCAAACATATATAAAACAGATAATGATATAATTATGCTTCTATCTTTTTTAATATTAATGTTTAAGATCCCTTTCAAATAAATTAGTTGATTTGCCACTGAATAGATAATTTTTTTTTTTTTCTCAATTCACAATTCACAGATATAAATAAAGCAACATGATGTTATGTCAGTCGGAGCAAGTTTTATTCTATCTATAAAAATAAGAACTTTTGATCACATGGCAAAAGAAGTTAGTAATTATAATTTTTAATTGTATGAAAGAACACGTAAACAAAAAGCCCACAGCGCCCTCAACACGTTACTGTTATATTTATTTATATATTCAAAGTTGAAATTGTATTGTATGGGAATCAAACAACGTAAAAAATATTAAGCCTTTCAATTATGTGAATAATTTTAAATAAAACGCACCATGATTTTGAAAAAGTATTAAAATCTCCTGCCGGTAGTGATAAATTAGGATTTTATTCAATTGATTTGCATGGATCAAAACGGTTACCTTTGTAGAATATTAATTGATGAACACTGTCAAAGATAGATAGTATCTTGATAATAAGATGCTTACATTTTTGATAGAGCAAATTAAGCTTTATTATGCTTCTATAATGGCCATAAATAATATAAGTGTGTTTAATGAATTGTTTTATACATCCGAATATCTTGATTAGAGAATAGCAAAATATTTTTACAAGAAAAAGGTAATTTTTTTAATATTAAATTAAAAAATAATAAAGTGTTATTATCACATCAACCTATAGCTCAATTAACTAATAACGAAGTAAGCATATTACAGCCTAATGTTTCAACCCAATTCCGATTAGGCCTACACTTAAATCTACCTTGTGAATTGCTCACTTTATAAGTTGAGTTATCTTATTAGTTAAGTTAAACTGGGCTTCAACCCATTAGCCCACAATAGTCTATAATGGGAATCAGAATTATATTCAGTTTCTACTTCTGACAAGATCCTTGACCTTACTTAAAGTGTTAAGCCTAATCTAATAAAGACAAGAGATCATATATTCTTCCTAATTGGAACTCCTCTAATAAGTAGGACTTAAAGTCCTACTAGGATTCCAACCCCTAGTAAACCCTCTCATTATTCATTTAGAAATCACCCATAACCTCTAGCTCTCAAAGTTCTTACTTCTAAGAACCACCACATTATTTTGGTAATCTTTCCTATTCTTAGCCCTCACTAAATACCCTAAGCCTCACTGACTTGAGCTTGAGAGTCGAAATATTTACGACAGACACCACACCGATGTTTATTTGGCATTCATGTTCTTTTTTCTTCTCTGTGCAGGTCCATTAGGTTGTTAGTGCCTCCATCCTCACAATATATGTCTCATCCGAATTGATAATAGATTTTACCGTCTATAATTATCAGTGACATGGGCATTAGTAGAGACAGAGTGGTGGTTATACATATATCGATATTGATAGTTTCATCACTTGGTTGGGAATTTTAATTAATTTCTTTGGCTTGCACAACAAAGTTGTCATTCATGCTTGTTCTTTTAAGCTTTTATATTTAAGTTTCACTATTGATATGTAAGTCTAACATCGAGGCTACCGAGAAAATTATCAGGTTTCAACTCTTATGAAGCAGCTGTCATTGCATCAAATGGATTGCATCTCTCTCCTTGACCCGTGAATCAAGGGAATTTGCTCTAAATCCAGCTCATAATTAAACTTTTGCAGATGCCCCATCCTAGTTGTCTTAAAACGATTCCAATTTTGTCTGCGATCCATTCTTCAGTTTTCACTAAAGCAAGGTTTAAGAGGGAGAAAATGGAAGAAACAACAGAACTGTTGAAGGCACAACCGAAAACACTGTTAGTGTACACTTGTGCTCATGTGGGACTTTTGTAGAACACCTTTTGAACAAATCCAAAGAAGACATTCGAAACCTTATTTGAATGGACTTAAATGATATAAATGGCAATAAAGAATGAAACGACAAGCAAATAAACAACTGCAACACAATACCCAAGAATTTTACGTGGTTCACCGAAAATGGTTACGTCCATAGGAGGCTACCGATTTCACTAGATTAAAGAGAACAATAAAGATAAAAATTTTAGTTTGCAACACACTCTAGATCTTAATCAGTCAACCTCACAGTCTCTTTTGTATTTAGGTTCTTGCTCACTCATGTATTGAAACTTGTTCAACACTTAGTATATTATGTCACAAGTTAAAACTCTCTAACTCACTTTCTTATTCTTACTAAGCTTAGTCACTCAAGTGATCTTATATACTAATTAAAGATTACAATTATACCCTCCACTTAAGTCACAAAATTACAAATATACATATAGTGAAAACCTAGTTTCTACAAGCCATTCATCAACTAAAACAAAAGAATAGTCTGTGTTAATTGTGTGATTATGCGATCAATGATGTGTAAATTTAATAATTTATGATATATACCACTACATATAACAAAAATATATCTTTTTTTTTACTTTTGACTCTTTGAAGTATTGGTTTTGTTAATGCTTGATTTTGATTCCAACGACTTCACATGTATAAAATGCTAAGAAGTCACACGTGAGATGATTTTAATAAATGGGTGAGGTACTGTGAATACAGTAGCATGCAAAGGCGTAAAGTAAAGTTGACAAAATGATTTTTATAGTGGTTTAGATACTTAAAGCGAATCCTACATCCACTGTAGTTTTTTATATAAGGATTACTTTCTGATTGCAAGAAATTACATGAGATTGTGATCTGCATCTGCGATTACAAGTGTTTGTGTTTGGTGTTTTAAAAGAATGTCAAGTCAGTAATCTCTTTCTAGTAGTATGTCTTATTATTTGCTTTGTTGAATGCGTGAATGTTTAATCTTTATTTTGTGAGGGAGAGTTGCCTATTTATATCCGTTTAGCTCAAGGTAATAATTACATTTTTGCAAGTGACCTATTATCGTGTAGATACCTCCTGCCTTCCCATTAATTGAAAACACAAAGTATATCTTTCAATTAAATGGGGCTTGGACAAGTATGCGAACCAAATTCACTCAGGCACAAATTCTTTTGTTGGTTTGGGTCTGTGACAGTTATATTCCTTTTGCTTTTGGAGACGTGTCATGTTCTAGACAGTAGAATGGTTTCCTAGATTCTGATTGGTGCTTGATTACGTCAGCATATGTCAACCCTTATTTTAGGCATAACATTTTCCTTGATTTAAATGAATTTTAATGGAAAATGATATCATCCTAAGTTGTTCATATCAAGTATATATGTTTTTCATTTTATAGCTTATCCTAATTAAAAAAAATTGAATATATATGAATAATACTACAGTTACAAAGAATTGAGCAATCTAAACTTTTTGAGATTAAGAAAACAAGCCTTGTGATGCTAAAATAACCCTCGGGTAAGGCAGTTTATTTTGAAATATAAACAGATAAATACATTCCTTAATACCATTCAATAATGAAACACAAACACTTACCTATGTTAAATAACACCTATAGAAATATAATTCCAGCATACATAGAGAAAACCCTTTGATTCAATGGAAATTGCAGTGTAAAATTAAGTAAATAACAAACCGATTAGAAAGTACAAAGTAGATGATTATTGAATACAAATACTAAAATCACTGAGCTTTATCAAGCCAAGAGCAGTTGCAAGATAGAAAATACAGTTTGGGTTAAAGTGAGCAGCAAGAGTATAACCGCTACAACTGTTGCGGTGCTTCTCCAAGGATTGCTGAAATATACTCTTTTCAAGGTTGCCCTGGCATGGTTCCAACGATTGCCGTAGTGCCTTATCAGATCCTTATAAATGTCGGAGTGAAGGGAACTTTGTGGAATCTGTCGGCAAAGCTTATTAATCATTTCCGCTATTGCAGCATCGCTGCCCACATTATTGTAAATAATTCCTTTATCAGCAAGGAAATCCACATCTTCTTCGTTTTCGATAAGATAATCCATTAGCTCAATATAACTGCATACGTAAGTTTCCGACGGATAATAGCACTGCTCCAAGGCCATCACATTTCGAATCAAACATTCGGTGTCATCATTTACGTAAAGGCATGGGATTCGCATCTCAACTGCATTAGAGAATGATAATATTCTTCCTTTTCTCTTTTCTAAGTGTACGTCAACTAAATAATTCCCCAGCTCCACCGAAAGAGGCGTAAACTTCACTCCAGACTTTTGCAACTTGACTGCGTTTGGTACTTCTTTCATCCTTCTGTTGATTGTTCCTACGCTGCCCATCTGGTGAATTCCAACAAGAGCTCGTCTGCATAAATCTGTGAAATGTTTAACTTTGATCTCTCTGTCCGGAGGTGATATGTTGTGCAAGAGATGGAGATCAAAGAAAGCACAAGAGAGAGTACGGAAAGGAGGATGCAATTTTTCAACTTGGTTGGCGGAGAGACAGGCTAATATGTATAATTCCTCAAGCACAAAATAGGGAAGCTGATTTTCGAGTAATTGCAAGTCTCGTCTTAAAGGTCCTAGCCATACTTTCTCCAGCAAAAAATCACTTCTATCTCTAAGTTGATATGTCAAGAAGAGCTCGATGATGAAGACAGAATCAAGTAGAATCATTTTAACAAAGTTTGCACTCGAAAGGTTGGATGGGTCAGCATAATAACGGCGGATTTGACTTTCGTTGTCTCTGATATATTTTTTGAATTCCTTCTGTTTATCCTGGCCGAATCGATCGTTAAATTCTTCCTTATATCTCATTTTATGCTCTTCCATGTCAGCCAATTCTACTTTGCCGTGGTGATAAGGGCCTATTGCAATTATTAGGGGAGTGTAGGCTTCTTCATTTACTTTCCGAAGATTCTTAGGAACCTTGTGAATGCTACATCTAAACTGATCTTCAAGCTCCTCGGTATCAATCTGAACCTGACCTTCATCACGAGGAAGGCTTGCTAAGTTGGACTCCATCTCGTTACCTTTCAGGCGAATCATCAAATTTCTATCAATATATATCAAATCAACTATCAAAATAGGTAATTTTATTTTATTTTATTTTTTGTGGTTAAAAAAACAACTACGCACCCATCTGATCTACTAACAATCAAAGAACAAATTTCTAAAATACTAGCAAAATGATTCTTCTATTTACCGGATAAAGAATTTTAGTATTTTACGTAGAGACTAAATTGTCCCTGAAATGGATTTAAATATATGCATTTCGTCATGACATGAAAGTACACAATAGTTTATATTATAAACTTATTCACAAAACTTCTAGCAAAATTTCCTTTTAAGTGTTTGGGCGGAGTTACCATTTTTGCCCATTAAAGTAGGTTGCGATTGGTTAGGGGTCAAATAGGATTACTTCGGTATTATTTCTTTAATTTTAAAGATTCTCTTGTTTGTTTGTAAAATAATAAAATATTACGGTAACCTTTCATTATAAATAGTATTTATTATTGGTAAAATATGGGATAATCAAATTACCACCTTAGGGGTTGATATTAAAAGATTACGAGAGTAATCTTAATTTTATGCGTATTTTGCCCTTAAATAAATACCATTTCGGATATAATTGCTTTCAAAGGTCTACCAAATAATTACCCAGACCCCTTACATTTGAGAATTTAGCTAAAATACCCTAATCACCAAAATCTAAAATACCATTTCCTGCTAGATTCACGACGATTTGGTTGTTTCTGGCCTTTGATCTGGTCGGAAACAACCAGATTGCCCTGAATCTGGCTTGAAATAACCAGCTCGTCATGGATTTGGCCCTTTTTGGCCTTTGATCTAGCCAGAAACAACCAGATCGGCATACAGCCATCTACATCCCATCGGTTGTGCGCTCTTTTGATGACTACCGTCGACGGCCGACGATGGTCTTATGTGGTTGGGGGTATTTTGTTAACTTTCATACTTGTTTGTGATTGGAATGTTTTAGTTAGATTCTCAAATATAGGGGGTGGGGTTGTAATAATTGAACTAATGATAGTAAAAATAATATTAAAATGAAGGGCAATTCAATAAAAGTCTCTCCCAGAATTCTTTTATTCATCCCAATCAAACATATTAATTATTTATACCCACCAATCTAACTAAATGAATTTACATAACATTTTCATAATCTTCAAGACGATCCATCTTTCTATTAATAAAACATTCTACAGTAATACAATAGTCGTTGAACCAAATGCAGCCAAGGAAATGGATTTTGAAATAGGTAATGGAAGGCACTTGAATTTGGCGAGTTTATTCAGAAGAAAAATGCCATATTTGTTAAGCTCCTAGAAGTTAATAACCTGGTTGTTAGAGCATATCCAATGATGTTCTTTATTTTAAAGAACATATTTCATGTAAATAAGGAGCATCTTCATTAATTTTTAAATGCAAAGAACAAAATTTTTATTTAAATCCTATGGACTCTTTAAATTTAATGAAAATACTCTTTATTTTCAAGAAAGAGACTTAATAGGAGAGAGAATTAATAAATAAAATGTATAAAAAATTGTAATTTATTAATTAAAATTAAGATAGAGAATAACATTTGACTTTCTAGATATGGAGAGTTAAACTCATTCTTTAATTTTTATTTAAAAGATAAAAAGTATGTTGGATTCTTATTTTTATGGATAGACTCTTTAAAATAAAGAGTTTAAATAATATAAAGAACCTTTTAGAGATGTTTTTAAGTGAGAAAAAATAAAAAACAATACAATTTCAATAAAAAAATTTTTATGTCTTAAACTTGTCCCCCGTAGCAAGTTAGCTAATATTAGCTATTAGCTAACTTGATGTACATTTTAAGTCAAGGCCTAATTGTTAAATTATATAGTGGAAGAACAAACGTAAATAAAAACAACAACAATAATAATAAAGAGAGACAAGTACCTGAATATTTTGACCGGAAAGAAGCACTTGTATAGCTAAGTTGAGAACGAAAGCTCCCCCTCCTAACGCCACAGATAATATATGTTTTGTAATATGATACCTCACTCTAAACATATTTATAACCGTCAGTAATGCTTTAATTAATTAAACATGAGCAACAACATTATGATCACCATTCTGTTTTTATAAAATATTTATTCCATCAAAGGTTTCACACTCTCTCATTCACATGCGTTCTCTCTCTATCTCTACTTCTTTCTCAATTTTTTACTTTTGAAACATGGTGATGCGCTGTCCTACACGATAGAGACCACATGGCAAAAGAAGTCATTTTTTAAAAATTATTTGTTAATCGACATATTTAAATATTGTATGAACACAATTACACATTAATCATAACTAGTTAGTTGTTACATACCGATCTTCTGATTAACTGACATCAATAAACATTGAAACACATGATTCATTAAGAGTAGGGCCAGAGTCAGTAATGCTATGATTAATTAAACATGAGCAACAACATTCTGATCACCATTCTGTTTTATGAATATTTATTCTTTAATTTATCTCTTCCGTCAAAGGTTTCACACTCTCTCATTCACATGCGTTCTCTCTCTATCTCTGCTTCTTTCTCAAATTTTTACTTCTGAAATATGGTGATGCTGCCCTACATGATAGAAGCAGGTAATTTTAATTTTTTTTTTTTTTCTCCTTTTTGCATCGTAGATTTTTAATTGGGATTCTCTCTAAAAATATGGAATTTTGATCACATGGCAAAAGAAGTCATTTTTTCAATTATCTGTTAATTGACTTATATAAATATTGTATGGACACACTTACACATTAACCATAACCAGTTAGCTGTTACATACAGATCTTCTGATGAACTGGCATCAATAAATATGATTCATTAAGATCTGGGCCGGAGTCAGAATTTTAATGGTTGGGTGGCCAAAATTTTTGTTGTTAAGTTTCATAAGCATAAATACATAAGTTTCATATATTATATATATGGTATTTTTTTTTATCTCTTAATTAAACTTAATTAAGATACAAGTTGTAAATATAAGAGAAAATTATCTATCACATTGAAGTAATGTGAGAAAATTAAAATGCATCTCTTCATCTATGAAAAATGTTGAAATTTGACCTAATCAATAATTTATCTTGTCTACACTCAAATTATATCATTTTTTTTAATCAATGTTGATGCGAATTTATCTGTTCATTATATTTTTTATAGTATGACAGAACAGCAGATAGAAATCACTAGCTTAGATGTTAGCTGTTAACTTTATTCATTGAAAGTTGAATTTGTATAGGCATGTATAGTTGTCTTTTCGGCAAATCATATATATTTTTTTAATGTCGATCTTATAATTAATTGATCCAAGAAACGTTTAAATAAACAATTTCAGTATAATTTTCTAATATTAAAATCTTAATTTTTTTTCTTTTAAGATATATGGACACAGATTAACAATAGTTTAAGTCTTAACAAAACTCTCCATCCACATGCATTCTCTCTCCAACACTTCTCATTTCAACAAACAAATAAACTAACAGCGATTCTAAGCCATACGAGGTAGGTTTTGTCTGCATCATTGACTTTAAAATTTTTTTTTTTTAAACTTTCAACTGTTAGAGATGGTACCATATCAATGATCTGGTCCGGATTTTGTCAGGGTAGAAAGATAACTATACATCTATGAAGAGACATGAGCGGGAGAAAATTTCATGACGTAAACCATGTGACATTTGAAGAATATAACGTACTAGTGTAGACTGTAGTAGTGTTTAGAGGTTGTACTATTTTATATTAATTTGATCTCGATCGAAATGAATTTTTTTTCATTTTATTTTATTTTATTTATCTTTCTTTAACTTGAGTACGTATTAATGTTTAGTGTTGTACTATTTTTTTTTTTTTAAATATAAAAATATTAATTATGGGATAAATTAGTGATTTCACCTGTTAAAGTTAACAAATTTTTAATTAATTTCAGCAAAAACAGGTGGTTAATTTATACATTTGAATCTAAAAAAAATGCATTGACTATATATGTAAATTAAGTCATTTCACCTGCTGTGAATTTAAAAACTCCTGTTAATCTAAGCAAAGAGATAGATTTTTGATGAATTTTAAAACGTCATAGGGATAACTAATCTAAAAGATTGCCAGATATTAGAACCTGTCAATTATACAAAGGGTTTACAACAACTTCTTCCTCAAGGTTTGAGGAAAGGAACAAACACACCCAAAGGTTTTGGATTGTAACAAATGCTTCCAAAAAGTTAATTACTTTACCAATAAAGACTATAATACCCTTTTTCTAATTATATATTCTTTTCAATTTTTATTTCTTCAATTTTTAATTCAACTATATAAAAATGAAGAAATAAAAACCAAAAATTAAGAATCTGAACGTTGTTTTTAAAAGACTTTAGCATCCTTTGTATTAAATTAAATAATAATTTATCTATTCATATATGTATTATTTAAATTGTAATTTATTATATAAAATAGGTTAATAAATGTTACTATTTATAGTTAGAATGAAAATAGAAGAAATAGAAAATTGAAAAGAATATGTAATTAGACAAAGGGTATTACGGTAAAGTAATCAATTTTTTAGGTGCATTTGTTGTTATCCGAAACTTTAGGTATTTTGTTACTTCTTCAAACTTGGGGAGCAAATTATTGTAAAGCCATTAAACAAAAGACATGGACAGTAGTTGGTAAAACTCCAATAATTCATGATACTTAAATAATGTACCTTCATATTGGGATTGCTATCCTCTAATTATTAATGTTCTTGAAATGGTTGCTTATTTTATTATTATTTTTTATGTGAAGTTTGAATATAATTTAATTTGAGTTAGATAAATTAGTCTGTCACTAAATTATGTACAATATAACTTACGAGTTCGTATACAAATAAAAATCGTCGACAATCAAATGTGTAAACATCAAAGACTTTATATTAGGGCATAAAGCCTAACAAATTACAGTAGAAAACAACAAACCAATCAGTAACACATAAAGCATACCATTTATTTGCAAATAGTAAAATCAC